TTGAACCTGCGTTCAGGGTCAGCGTCGCACACACGCACACACGCAACAATTTGCACTATCACCGTTTTGTCTCATAGCTAGACGTCAGACCAGCAATGCCACAGCTGCCCCATGCCAATGCACACGCACACGCTCGGACAGACGTGCACGCCCAAGTACCGCACACCCTCAAAACACACTCACAAGCCTTCATATGGCCATATGGCGAGGGCAAGTAGGCAGATGGCAAATATGTCAATTCAACAAGGACAACAAGAGACACCGTTGAAGCGAAGCTGTGGCACGATGCGTCGTACCCAACAACATCCCGCGCAGCAGACTAAACCACAAACTCAACCCTAAATCCCAAAGCCCAAGCCCCAAACAGCTCCACGACGTGAAGAGTGTCCTGGAGTAAACTTGCACATGTACAAGGAAAGTGGACCTTAATCTTTATGTATACCGTTTCAGAGCACCAGCTTGATGTTTTGTCTATATGTTGCTACTGCTACTGTTAAACTTGTCATGTCGATTGCTATGGTCATTGCTATTGCTACGGTTGTTGGTATTTCGAATGCTATCACTACTATTGCTATTGCTACCGTTGTTGGTATTTCGAATGCTATCACTACTGCCCCCGCAACAAATGAAAGATGATAATACCCATATTCCCTTATAAGGAAGAATGATATTCATGTTTTTCATGTTTTGGGGGGTTCTTAAGCAAGTAGTGGTCAACCCTTGCCCCTAAACCCTAAACCCTGAACCCTAAACCCTAAACCCTAAACCCTTATAAACCCTAAACCCCAAACCCTAAAACCCTAAAACCCTAAAACCCTAAAACCCTAAACCCTAAACCCTAAACCCTAAACCTAGAACTCGAAACCGCCGCCAGGACAGACTTGCAAGCGCTGCCGGTTGCTGCTCCACGCATCGCGCCTGCAGCGACCTGGGGGTTTAGGGTTTAGGGTTTAGGGTTTAGGGTTTAGGGTTTAGGGTTTAGGGTTTAGGGTTTAGGGTTTAGGGTTTAGGGTTTAGGGTTTAGGGTTTAGGATCTAGAGTTTAGAGTTTAGGGTTAGGATGTAGGGTTTAGGGTTCGGGGTTCAGGGATCGCGCCTTGAGGGTGGTTCTAAATGAGTGGTACCTGTTGGGGAGTCCCACTGGTAAAAAAGCCTATAAATCGAGTTTCGATATCTGAGCGGGCACACTTTACACTTTTTGGGGTTCTACAATCTCCTATAGAACTGAAAGTGTACACTTTTTTGGGGCTTATGAACTCGGAAGAAAGCCTATATGAAGCAGGGTTGATATTGCTGTTCTTGGTGAGTGTATATAAGGCTCCTTTTTGACATTGGTGAGTGTAGATGTTTGGTGTCCTTTTTGGGGATACAAGGAATACCCTAAACCCTAAACCCTAAGCCCTAAACCCTAAACCCTAAACCCTAAACCCCAGCCCTCAACCCTAGACCCAAGAGAAGAGAATTACCCTGAGCCATATACCCTATCAGTCTAAACCCCCAGTTCCCACAGAGTTGAAACAAGTATTGTGAGAGGTCTCTTCTTCGAGGTTCATAGGTAATCAGAATTGTCATGAGCAAGGGAATTATTGATGAATGTTTAGTCGGGACCTGGAAGGCACAACCGTGGTGTTTTGTGTTTAGCGCTTCGGTTAACCAAAATCCTTGGCAAAGTCAGACCTGACTGTGCGCCCTAAATTCCTGAAGCCTACACCTAGGGCTCCAAGTATACAAATAATACCTACATTGGGGTCGAAAGTCTGCAAATACCTACTTTGGGCTATTTGGAGCCTTAGGGTACACCACTGCTATGCTAAGGTAGCGAGGATGGGCCGGCAACACACCAAGCTGATGTGCTGGTGTCGCTCCTGCATTTACAAGCCCCACGCGATAAACGTTTGGAGCGACCAAAGCCCTCAATCCTAAAACCTACACCGACTGTATGTCCCAGCACCTGTACTTGTTTTGATGAAAGCTCAGCCTTCAACAGGGGATTGCGTCGGGTTTGTTGGGGATGTGAATGCAATTCGTCTGGATGTTGGTTTCAAGTTGCCGAGATGGTAGGCTACGGATGAAAGGGGTTTACGCAAATAAGGGACCCCGAATATAGTCCCCCAAATAGTATGGGATTCCCTGGTAATAAGGACCCCAAGAAGGTACCCCCCCCTCCCCCCTCTAATTTCGGAAACCCCTAAACCCTAAACCCTAACCCCGAAATCCTAAACCCTAAACCCCAAACCCCTGAACCCCAAAACCCTAAACTCCTAAAGCCTAAACCCCTATAGATCCGATCCGTTTGACCAGGTGATGTCGGCCTTGTCGCCTCAGCGCACGCACAGGCCGCGACGGGGCCGCGGGACGGGCTCTTTAAGATGATGCTCCGGATGAAGGTTTAGGGTTTAGGGTGTTTAGGGTTCAGGGTTTAGGGTTTAGGGTTTAGGGCTCAGGGTTTAGGGTTTAGGGTGAAGTTTAGGGTTTAGGGTCAATCTGGAGAGTACTTCAGTAAGTCTAACGTAATATAGATCGAATGTAGACAAGGTTAATACAAAGAAGGTAAGACATTCTGAAAAGTAGCATTTCTGGGCTGCAGCCTTCGAAATACTGATATGAAAAGGCTGGTAGGGCAGGGCCACACTTTGGCGGTGTTACACATGAACGCGGTCAAGATTCCGAAAGGTCGAGGAGGTCCAGACCTTGAGGGTTTAGGGTTTAGGGTTTAGGGTTTAGGGTTTAGGGTTTAGGGTTTAGGGTTTAGGGTTTAGGGGGGTCTCTACACCTACACCGTGATCCCTACTACGTAGGAACCCCTGCAAGGCCCAAGCATGCCCCTCAGAGTGCATGGACCCAGGGGGGATAAGACTTTACGTGCCAGGCAGACTCAGGGAGATTCAGGCAGATATTGAAAGTTCGCCCTAAACCCTAAACCCTAAACCCTAAACCCTATACCGGCTGCAGGGTGCGCAAGTACGGCAGCCGTTCAATGCCCGGCATTAGCACTACCCAAGGGCATCTCAATGAACGATGCGAATCAAGTCCAAACAGATCAGGCTAAGCCCTAAACGCTAAACCCTAAACCCTAAACCCTCAACGCCAGGAGTGCAGGACCCAACATAGGCTTATCACTATCAGGTTAGCAGTCACGAATCAGGTGGCATCCTTAAGCACATGGCCCCCGTCACACGGTCTTGATGGGTTTAGGGTTTAGGGTTTAGGATTTAGGGTTTAGGGTTTAGGGTTTAGGGGTTTAGGGGTTTAGGGTTTAGGGTTTATAGAGTTTAGGGGTTTAGGGTTTAGGGTTTAGGGTTTATAGAGTTTAGGGTTTAGGGGTTTAGGGTAACATCAACCCGACCAGCCCCCGTGGCTACCTAGCAGGGCCGTCAAGCGCGTCACGACGCCTTTGCGCGCCACAACCTCAGAGGCGCAGGATGAGGGCTTGTCTTTGGGAACCCTAAACCCTGAACTCTAAAACCCTAAACCTAAACTCTTAACCCTAAACCCTAAACCCTAAACCCTAAACCCTAAACCCTAAAACCTAAACCCTAAACCCTAAACCCTAAACCCTAAACCCTAAGCTAAGGTTTATGTCGGGTTACCCTTTCTGGTGCAAGGTTGCACGACCTTGGCCCTAAGCCCAAGACAAAAGCCGGTGGGCCTGCCGGGCCGCCTCAAGCCCTAAACTCTAAACCCTAAACCCTAAACCCTAAACCCTAAACCCTAAACCCTAAACCGCTCAAGAACATGTTGCGACACAGGGGCTCATCGACACCGACCTCAAGACTCAGAATCCCTAAGCCTTAAACCCTAAGCCCTAAACCCTAAACCCTAAACCCTAAGCCCTAAACCCTAAACCCTAAACCCTAAACCCTAAACCCTAAACCCTAAACCCTAAACCCTAAACCCTAAGCCCTAAGCCCTAAGCCCTAAGCCCTTGCCAGCCTAGGGGAGTGGATCTTCTGAGGTCTACACCCGGCGGTCGCATCGCCGGGTGGCGAGCCCAGATGCCAACTCAAGGTGGCCCCCTTGGGTTTTTGGGTTTAGGGTTTAGGGTTTTAAGGTTTTTGGGCTGTGGTGGCCCTTGAGTTGTGGGGTTTTAAGGTTTTAGGGCCTTGCAAGGGTTTCGGGTTTAGGGCTTCTGTTTTTTTTTTTTTGGGGGGGGGGGGGGGGGTTAGCAGCTTTGGCTTCAGGGTTTAGCTTTTTTTTGGGGGGGGGTTTTTGGCAAACAGAGGCTGTCCCCGGACCTCACACTCAATACCCCTATGCTTTCACACATTTCACAGCATTTCGCAACCCGCCTGCTAAATCAAATCAACCCGGCCAAACCTGCAGCACACAAAGCACCCCAAAACTAAACCAACCCTTCCAGAACACCACAATCCCACGCTGACACTGTTTCGGGTTACTCGTAATTTTCTTTTGTCCAAGTGGGGCTTTGTTCGCAGGTTGGTTACGCCCTCCCTCTTGTTTCGAGAGGGGTCCACGGGCCCACCTCCCTAGGCCCAGGGTTTAGGGTTCAGGGTTCAGGGTTTAGGGTTTAAGGTTGAGGGTTGAGGGTTTAGGGTCGCCAACCCTGCACTCCCCCCACGCCCAGTCGCCAATGCCCGAGTGCGACCTGGGTGCTCCATTTCACCATTGTCTCCCCTACCCATGTGCCCATCCCTGGGGGGGAGGACGAGTCGCAGGAATTTGGGAGTTTAGGACAGTTTAGGAGCGTTTTCAGGATTGAGGCCTTTGGGCTCAAGACGGCTCAGGCACAAAATCCTGCATTATCCATACAGTCACAAGGGCTTTGCGGTTTCTCCCATAGATTCGGGTACTTGGAGGCGTCAGGACTTGGCACGAGAGTCGTAGCATCTGGCGCAAGTCAGAGAAGGCTTGGCAGAAGTTCGGATAGACTTGTGGGTTTGAATTAGGGGGTCGCTCTGGCAGGTCCTGAGGATAAGGATCCTACTGCTTAAGCTCTACTTTGGTGTTCCTTGTGAGCTGAAACTTCCACTTGCGGCCAAGATGGGCGCGTCATCCGAAGATGAAGCGCAGTTATTAATTCAACAAGCTGAGCGCAGCGGAGATACCACAACTCTGACACGACTACATTTGGAAGGGCACCCGGGTGCTGGGCGAACGCTGCTGACGGAAGGGAGGCTGCAAGCGCAGGAAGCAATCAACTCAGAGCCGCCAGCAGCATCTGCGTCGTCTCATATGGTTTGCGTCACGGAGCGTGGTGAAGGTGCACAGGGCATGTGTGGAATCTGCAGCAGAGACTTCTTCTTGACCGAACTTCTTGGTGTTCGTACCTGTCCACGCCTCTTGTGCATCGATTGCACACTACATCTTCCCTGCCCGGAGTGTGGACGGAAACATGAGATTAGGGATCCTGGTCCGCATCTGAAAGATTTGGGAAAGGACAGGTTGCACATCATTGTCTCTCGGAGAAGTCCCGATGCCAACGCCAGCCAGAAGCTGCTTGTACTCTTCGACCTGAGCGGCGTTCTTTGCTGGTCGCCTCGGGATGGCAAGAAATTGGAGCAGGCTGCCTCGAGGCCCGTAGAAAGACCGAAGGGAAAGAATGAGAAAACTTCCTGGTTGTACTTCCGACCCGGTCTACAAGAGTTGCTAACGTTTTTAGAGCGTCAATTTGACCATGCATTGCTGGAGTTTGGCATCTACTCGACTCGGATCTTTGCCAACGCCGGGGTCGATCTACGGCTCATTCTTTCACATTGTCTTCGCGAAGTGGACGAAGAGGAGTTGAGCGCTCAGTCAAGGAAAGAGGCACGGGATAAGACGCCCGATGATTCAGATGATGTCTTTCACAAAGTGAGGTACCGCTCTCGAGGTCGAGAGCGGTTCTTGTGGTTTTTCACTCAAGAAGATTGCGAAGCAGATCCTGGAAACAGTGCCATTTATCCAAACACGGGTGACCGGAGCTACGTCTTCAGCACCGATGTGGCGGCGAAGGCCGGGCGGACGTCTGATGCCCTTCTCTACGTGGCTGGCAATCAGAGGAAGTTCACTCTCCTGAAACAAGAGCAACTAGGACCCGGAGTAGGCCCTTATTTCTGTTTGTTGAGGTTTGGGTTCCCTTATAATCCCCTTAAAACTAAAAAAGGGCCCCCTTCTGATTCCTAGGATACCCTTGGGTCTAGGCAATGCGTCTTGGTGCCGGACTTCACGGACCATGCCGTGTGTGCCCCTGCGGATGAGGATGGCTTCGCCAGGGTCCGAGAGCGGATTTCTCAGCATGAACGCAGCGTCTTCAAGTGCACGAAAGGCACGGAGTACTTCCACAGACACGAAGAGTACTTCCACAGACACGAAGAGATGATCTGGGCACCCACGGGGTTCTTGTGCCACAAGCTCAGGAAGAAGAAGCAGCTTGTGGATACCATCGGCTCCTTTCTAGGCAAGTAACAGGCAGCAAGCTATGAAGGGGCAATTCTGATGCTCCACGTTTTCGAACCAACATAGAACTCAGAGCGGGTTAGGGTTTAGGGTTTAGGGTTTGTTTAGGGGTTTAGGGGTTTATGGGAACATTCCGCCTATCTTGAGCGACAAAGTCCAGGGTGACAGTGCCTGTGTGCTGATCCAGTTGTGAGGTGGAAAGAGAATTGGCCACATGTTTCAGCTTGCTCTCGAGCTGCCCGGAAAACCCAAGAAGGGTTTACGTAGTAAGGGTGACAGATTTGTAGGGCTTACAGGGATTAAGGTTTCACTAGGGGCCTCTAGGGCTTCAGGGAACATAAAGGATAAGGGTTTACGAGCTTGGCTGTTGCACTGTAGGGCTGGGGAACTGTGCATCCGTGCTCTGGTTGCTCTCTTCACCGTGGCATCTCTAGAGGCCTAAAGCCTAAACAACCCTAAACCCTGCACTGCATTTGTAGGTGAGACCGAGACGTGAGATAGAACTGTTCAGTTGTGGGGTTTGCGGAGCAATGTTTATGCTGATTCGCTTTAGCCTTAGATCCACCGTACCCCCCCCTGATGCTTCACGTATTCAAACTGCCAGCGGACTACCTATTTGGTGCCTCGTTGAGCAAAACACAGTATGGGGGCTTTCGAAATTACCCTAAACCCTAAACCTTAAACCCTAAACCCTAAACCCTAAACCCTAAACCCTAAACCCTAAACCCTAAACCCTAAACCCTAAACCCTAAACCCTAAACCCTAAACCTAAAGATGCCCCACCCTCCGGTGTTGGAGCTGATCGGTTTTGAGCTCAACCATGCTCCCCAGCTCCAGAGAAGCTTGCAAGAGTCCTCGTGGACTGCCAAAAACCTCAGCGAATTCCCCGGATGGTTTAGGGTTTAGGGTTTAGCGTTTAGGTTTTAGGGTTAGGGTTTAGGGTTTAGGGTTTAGGGTTTAGGGTTTAGTGTTTAGGGTTTAGGGTTTAGGGTTTAGGGTTTCGGGTTTAGGGTTTAGGGTTTAGGTGTCAAGGGTTTAGGGTTTAGGGTTTAGGGTTTAGGGTTTAGGGTTTAGGGTTTAGGGTGTCTAGGGTTTAGGGTTTAGGGTTTAGGTTTAGGGTTTGCCTGTCCGAAAACAGCCGGAGGGCTCCCAGGGATACTCGAGGTACAGACTTTTTGGGGAGCGGGACGGCGATGCAGTGATGTGGGCTTTCGGTGATCCCGAAGTACCCTAAACCCTATACCCTAAACCCTAAACCCTAAACCCTAAACCCTAAACCGTTGCAGCAGCAGGACCTCTACCAACTCCACTGGGGCCTCACCACCCCGCTCATCCGAGGAGGCTGCTGAGGGGCGGGAGAGGGAGGTGGAATTATAACTTGGTAGCCCAGTGGTACCCCTTTTCCCTTTTTTTGGGGTTCAAGGTCCCCCTATAAAGTAGCCAGCCCAAACAGGGGTACGCTTGCTATGATATGGTTGCTGGGCTGCCAAGTTAATGATAACTCCATGCTCAAACGAACCTTCAGATGCCCTACTAGGAGTTATAGTAGTACAGGTTGGGATGGTCCCCCTTATACTAACAGTCCTTGATGGTTTTAGGGCTTTAGGGTTTAGGGTTTAGGGCTAGGGATTATCGTACCCCCCTATTATGCTCCCTATTACGAACTATGAATATAAGCGGGAGCATCCCGAAGTCTAGGGTATGTGGTTTCAGTTGTTAAGGTTCTCGGCAGGCCTTTGGGATGTTTTACATGTTCTCTTATTGGCCTTGAGCGGATCAGATTCAGTAAATAAAATATAGTAAATAAATAAATAGAATAAACTAAACTAAAATAAAATAAAATCAATAAACAAATAAATAAATTAAACATATATATATATACATAGGAATATTTGTCATAAATAAATGAAACATATATATATATACATAGGAATATGTGTCAGAGGGCTTTAAGGGCCATCCTCATTCATGTGGTCCACAAGGCAGCCCGCGGGTGCTCGGGTTGAGATTTGTCACCGGGTCGGAGGTGATTCTAGGACCCTAAATACCCTAAACCCTAAACCCTAAACCATAAAACTTTACCCCTAAACCCTAAACCCTAAACCCTAAACCCTAAACCCTAAACCCTAAACCCTAAACCCTAAACCCTAAACCCTAAACCCTAGACCCTTACCCTCTCCCAGGGTTTGCGAGCTTTAGGGCGAAGGGTCCAGGGATCCCAGTCTTTGGATTGCGGTCGTGTTCCTGTCGTGCTCTGGGCAAATGCACCAGCGCAAACCACGCCCCTGAGCCCACGAACCCCTACTTGGAGGTTCATGGCACTTATTCACCAGCTATAACTGTGCAAACATATACTTGTAACTTATAACCATCCTAGGGCACCTAAGGGTCTTATAAGTGGGTTATACGTACAGTACACTTATAGTTTATTCATAAGTACCATGAACCTGCAAGCCATCCTTAAACCTGAAAGCAGCTCAGGTCTCACTAAGTACGAACCACCCTGACCCAACCCTGAGACCTAAACCTAAGCCTTAGCGTATACCCTAAAGTACTATGAGCCTCAAACCCAGCCTTAAGAGCCCCAAACCCCAACCTCAACAAGTCTTTCCCAACCTGCAAGAAGGTGCCAAAAAGCTTTAAACGCAAAAGTACCAGCTTCAGGTTTTGCTCATCCACAAAGGCTCAAGATACAAGCATCTGTCTCGTGGTTTTCAGCAGCTACACCCATGGCACCCCATGAATCTCTAGATCCTCAGTCCTAAATACTAAATTGGGATGTTCCTCTTATGCTAAGAGTCCTAAATAGGGATCATAGTGCCCCCCCCCCCCCCCCCCCCCCAACATTACAATCTCTATTCAGGACTGTTAGTCAGAAAGGGGATCATCCCAAATCCTGAACTTTGTAAACACTGAGACTGCCAGAGCCCAACGTAAAGAGACTTGAGTGCCTGTGGGCCTCTGTGCTTTTGGGCAAGAGGCTCATGAGGAGTCCAAGAAGGTTTGCGCATCTCGGGGTTCAGGATTCAGGGTTTCGGGTTTCGGGTTTAGGGTTGATAGGGTTGATAGGGTTGATAGGGTTCTAGCCACACCCTACAGGAGAGTGACGCCGTCATGGTGGTAGAACCCTCGGCGCAGGCCTCTGCTTGGTGGGACTTGGGCCACCCCCCTCTTTTCCCCAAGCCCCATTTCAAGTATAGGCCTTGGGCTGTTCACATACTAACTATCCTTAATAGGGATTGTAATCGGGGGGGGGGACTTAAACAAGCCCTATTAAGGACTCTTAGTATAAGCGGGCACATCCCAATACATGCTTCTCGCGTTCCAGCGGTGTTTTTGTAGTCATGACATATACATTTGAGTGTTAAAGGGGAGTTCAGGCTTCTCTAGCAAGCACACAAGTCGACCCCAAAAATCGAAAAATGCTCCACTCGTCACCCTAAACTAAACTAAGGCTTTAGGGTCTAAGGTTGCTGTTCGGGGCCCATACTGAAGGGTGTAGCTACACCTTATACAAGCCGCACCGACACCCATTCCGTCGAAGCTGTTTCTACCTCCTCAACAGGCTGTGTTTTGACCCCAGACCCTACGCAACTTCAGACCAAAACAACTCTGAACCCTTAACCCTAAACTCGCCCCCCCCCCCCCCCCCCCCCCACCACCACCACCGTCCCCAGTGTAGAAGGCCCTAAGCCCTAAATCCTTATTATCCCATGTACTGTAATCTTGTGTTTTTGAGAGACCTTTGCGCCCTGTCCAGCAATGTTCACTTGCCAATAACACACCCCCTCCGAGGACAGCATGAGGTCCTTGCCCAGACCCCTGGGAGTATCCAAAAAGTAGAACCCAAAACCCTAAACCCTAAACCCTAAACCCTAAACCCTAAACCCTAGTATCCTATACTACTGTTGGGTCATTCTTAGGAGCCCTTCCCCTTAAACCTTGAACCCCAAACCCTAAAACCCGAAACCCTTCAGGGATTCGACTGTTTGGATCATCTAGAGACCTGGAGAATGCCCTGAACCCTAAGCCCTAAACCCTAGTGCCCTAAACCCTAAAAACTGAACCCTAAACCCCTAAACCCCTAAATAAACCCTGAACCCTAATCCCCTAAACCCCTAAACCTCTAAACCATAATCCCTAAACCTCCAGGGCTCACCGGTGGCCACGCCGTTGAAAGTCACCCCAAAGTCGAAGTTTCAGGAGGCGGAGGAGGAGTTGCAGGGGTCCTTTTTGGGGCTTGGGGGCAATAAGGGGTTTAGGGTTTAGGATTTAGGGTTTAGGTTTAGGGTTGAGGGTTGCGGGTTGAGGGTTGAGGGTTCAGGGTTTAGGGTTTAGGGTCAGCAAAGTCGGGTCACCACTGCCTCAACACGAGGGTTTTGAGCGTGTACCCTGCTTATGGTGTTGCAAGTGGCTGTGGGCTGCTGCTCGGGTGGCTTCTCATTTAGGCAACCGAACTGAACCCTAAACTTGGAGGTATCAATATCAGAAATCCGCGTCTTGTCCCGAAGATCCAGCTTCGTAGCTATCAGGAAGAAATATCCAGAGCAAACAAAATTTGCATATCATATATATATATATATATATATATATGTATATATACATATATTACCTTAAACAAGGGGAATTCCCGGAATTTGAGGTACATACCCCCTAGGTAGCGCAAGGCAAAGCCCCACACACCTTCAGCGCCTCAACCTGAATCAACTATACCTTAACATCCTTAAACCAGAGCGACAACCCTAAGCCCTCAGCCTCCTTTCAAAGGGACACATGTTGCTAACCCAAAACGCAGAACTCCAAGACAGAAGCTCTCCCCTAAACCCTAGACTCTAAACCCTAAACCCCCTCTGCCCTGAAGCTAAGATCCCCAGTGCTTGGGCTGTAACGTCACCGCTCAATGCTGTAGTAATAAAGCCGCCAAGCCCTAGATTCGCGGGACATCGTATTTGTTATTATAAGTTTCCCTCGCAAACAAGTTTTCAAGCGAACACAATGAGCGAAATAGG